TTTATTTAATGAGTGCTGTTGCGTAAAAAACCGAAGAAACAAAAATGCAAATTTTTGTCCCTTTAATGTCAAAATGTCGAAATCCACGTACAACACGTTTAAATTTAAAAGGATTTGGAGAAACTTTACAGCTAACTAAGTATTTCACGTGATCGGTACAATAAGAAAGGTTGCTGAATACGGTTTGTTTTAAACTTTTGCCGGTTCTATAATTGACGCAAAACGATTTAGCCACCCAATTTTAATAAACCCAGCGGATTTTCTAAAATCTTCCCAGTAATATTTATTTTGCTTCCAGATTAGGTTTATCACAGCAAATCATTTTCTCGGAGTGCCGGTAAAAATGTTCTGGTGTTTTTCCAGCAGCTTTGCAAAATAAAACAGTTAATAAATCTGTATCATTGTCTGTGCTAGCTTTCTCCTGTCTCCTCTAGAAATTAATGTCGTCCGCACGACCGACGGCAGCCTGTTGCGTATGTTTATTTGAATTACTTCGAAACATGTGGAACATTCCAGAGAATAGTAGTAACATACATTGAAGACAAACTATTTTAAACCGTACCCTTACAAAAATAGATTTGAATTTAGTTCATTTTCAAATCACCGGATACGCCTGTTTAGAGAATCATAGCTGTTTATGGACATGCTCTTTCGGACCTTTTCTATTCATAAAGCAAATTAGTCTCTAAACACAAGAGAGTTAAGTTGGTATCTGTTTCGTTTAAAACCGCACTTACAACTTTATTAAATCATTTTGTTGGGAATTGCAATAAGCCTCGTACGGACAGCATATTCAAGAGACGAGTAGTAAATGTGACTTTGAACAATTCGATGCTACTGAGCAAAACAAAACACGACTTTGTAGACATACGGATCATCATCATCAGCCTATTAATGTCCCCACTGCTGGGGCACAGGCCTTCCCTATGGATGGAATAGGGAGATTGGGCCATGACCCACCACGCGGGCCCAGTGCGGATTGGTGGGTGCTAACGACTGCAGATGCAGCCGGGACCAACGGCTTAACGTGCCTTCTGAAGCAAGGAGGAGCTCGAGATAGTAAATTTTCGGTCACCCATCCAATGACCGACCACTGCGAAAGTTGCTTAAATTCAACGATCGCAGCGGAAAGCGCTAACCACTTGCGCCATCGAGCTCCTCATACGGATAAATTAAAAAAGTCAATGTACTTTTTACAGAGTTGGAAATAGCAACAGGCAATATAACTTGTCTAATTTGTTTCATACAGCGAAATAAAAATATAACGGTTTGCCTTACTACCTTTTTTTAATAGAATTGCCATAGTTAATTTCACCCATTTTTGTTCACTGCGAAAATATATTATATACTAGTGGCACGCCCTCGCTTCGCTTCGGTGTAGAGCTGTAGTGTAGACTATATAATTTTTGTTCTCTCTACATTTTATTTAGAAAACGAAAAGGACTGTTTTATGGTTTTCGCGGCAATTATTCGAATTTTTCTCACCTTTCAAACCTTCCCTAAACCTCCACGAACATTTCAAAACCAAGATAAGATAAATCCGTTCAGCCGTTCTCGAGTTTTAGCGAGACTAATGAACAGCAATTGATTTTTATATACGTTTAAAGAAAATAATAGGAGAAAAAGTTTAGACTTGAGTTGTAACATTATGAATAAAAGAAAGGTTGACTTTGTTGACTCATTAGTTTTTTGTTTAAAAACAAATAAAAGATTTACTCATAGAACAATGGTAACTAAGTCATACATAGTCATACTGGTACTTTAGAACACCAGAAAGTTTCATTTCAATAAACTGTTCCATTTTGATTTCTTTTGATAAGATTTGTTATTTCATCAGATATCCAGTTTATGACTGTTATTTCTGACTGTTAGTTTATGACTGTTATGTTTTCTCTTAAATTTATGTTTATTTTAGATACCTAGTAGATGCGTTCATAGTTAGTAGTTAAATAAAATCATTTTGCCTTCATGCTGAGGTCGTGGGAAAAAAATTGCCAGCTGCTAACTAATCCAAGCAGAAAGGAGAAATTAATTTCTGAGAGAATAGTATTTTTGTATTTTTTTTAAATAAAATAAAAGTACAGTATTTGTTAGGAAGGTTATTTGATTTGCACATTACTGACTAAATTATATCAGAGATTAAATTTCAAGTTTTTCAAAGTGACGTCTATCTATTGCAAAGAAAGCGACGGCATTGAAAAGTTAAGCCTCTCCCGCCCATAGGCGTTATTGCAATATTTCGTCATTATTTTTATCACAGCTTTGTGTTACTTCGAAGCCGTTTTCATACAGATCCGTCTAACGCATCTAATATTATCGACCGATAATAGAGTGCTTATAGGGAGAGACCTTGTTCGAATATCTTAAAGTGGCCATTCCACAAGTCGAAATCTGCAAAATAATTTTCCGCTACATCGTGGCGCTTCACCGACAGGAACACAACACTACCAAAAGTTAGTGTTTTGGAATTTACTCCTTAAGAATGGATTTGCATATATAAGGGGCCCGGTATGAGAAAAATGTGAGAAGTAAAATCTATCGATGAATGACCTCGTTACGTTTTTGGTGCGCATCCTATGTCGCGCAACTTTGACAAACAAAGATGACAGATTGACATTAATAACCATAAACCACTTGTCACGGTAATTAATAATGCAGACAATGTTGATTTAATTAATATTTAAAAAATGATAATAGTCTGATAATAATAATTACATAATTTATCAACATCCTAATGATATATTTATGCATATCTGAAATTGACTATTGTGAAAAGTTTAATGTAAAATATTTCGTCGATTAGTTATAATAAATGTATATGAAATGAAAAAATATATATATATTTATATATGTATATTATTTTCATTAATTTGTTAATTTTCCCTTTCATACAGTATCAATCTTTTTTAAGTTAAATAAACTCTTTTTGCGTCTGGTTAGACTATCGAACTTAAGGAGTAAACTCCAGTCGTGCGTCGAAGCTGACACACACAATTTTTTTTTTGAGTGTGTATGCTGTTGGTCGCAGATGACCTTTACAGCGTCACCGGGTTTGCGGACGGCGAGATCCTAAGGGGACCTCAAGCCGAGAATTGGCGAGTACCTCTAGAGGTATTCCAGGCGGATGGCATGTCCCCACGGGTGGAGGGGGGAAGTCTCCTCCCCGTCTGGAGCCTCTAGACCACACGAACCTGAGGGGGTGGAAGTTAGTGTGATTTTACTGCGGTCATTTAAACTGAACTAGGCTGATGAGCCGGTGTTCCAATTCAAGCGTAAATTCTCTACTATGTAAAATGCTCTACTCGTTTCTGTATTTTTTACGATTTATTTAATTCACCACAAGCATCGAGTAAAAGGCATGGAAATAACAAACTTAGAATTTTTATTTTTAAATAATTATAAAAAACCAACAAAATATGACTCACATTCACGAAAGGTTCCATACCGCTTTTTTCTGTCATTTTGTGTCAATCTCTAGAGTTTTTAGACCTAGGTCTAACAAAAAACTTTGAGTTATAATTTTTATTTTTAAGCATGTAACTGCTTGATGTTTTAATCTAAACAAAATATAACTAGAAAAAAATCCACGCGGACCAGGCAGCAGACGGGACTCGAACCCGCACCCTTCGCAATCCGGGCGAATGACTGACCAATTATGTGACCAAGTTCTTCTAGCCATCCTTAAGCTGCAAAGAAGTGCCATTTCTTCGCTCTGTAGGTAACCCACAATGTGAAATGAAAACTTTTACAAGTATTAAACATTTGAAAGAAGAAATAGAAATAAAAAAACTTTGAATTAATCACTTTCATTAATTGTACTCGATTTTTCTTTATACTTATATGTCTCTTTATTCCTGTAATAGAAATACACACTATGAAAATTTCAATACTATCTGTTATGTTATGTTCATGAGAATATATTGCTCGTTGACAGAAGCACGCACAGGCAAAGTAAGAGTACTAAAATGCTAAAATAAAAAATAAAATCAAAATAATTAGGCATCACAATAAATATAAACCTAATAGCGTTTCAACTTTCACAAAAACTTGTTTACAGCTCAGACTAAACTAACCGTTCTCATTTTATTTCTTATTTCGTACTTAGTTGTAATAACATCGAAAGTATTTATCGACTCAGAAGAAAGCTGCATTGTTGCAATAAAAATAGTAGGTTAGTACAGGCAACATCAAAACACATCAAGTCACCACAAGCCGTCAGGTTTTATCATTTTATTATGAATGTTATTTTAAGTAAGATAAAGCTCAAACTCAGTTGATGAAATTGATAGTTTTGAGTAACATAATCTCTGGCTGTATGTACGTTCAAGAGCAAGAGTTTAATATGAACGACCCATTGAATGAAGCATCGTTTCTGCTAACGGTACACTCACACACGCACGGGTCGATGCCCCCGCAACTGTGTGCAATGCAGGAGTTGCAAACACGTGGTCTGACTGACTTAGATCACAGGGCCAGGGCAAACATAATGGAAAAACTTCAGATTAAAGAGTTACTATACTTTTTGGACGTATGTATTCATATATTCGTGAGCTGCTATATTTATAAAACAAAGTCTCTGACATACCGTATACTCTGACATAAAGACTGTGTACTCCGATTTATTAAAGAGATAAAAAATATACACAATAACAGAGCATTTGAAATTCTTATTGTATTCTTTTTGCACTTATATAAAAGAAAGCATCTTAATTTACGAAGTTAATTTCGATTGCAATGTACACCAGCGGCGCCGGCTCATTACGTAAACAAACAACAAGCGAAACGGCCACCTTATCCGACGACACAGCGACCGTAGACTCGCGTCCAACCTGCCGGCATACTTTCCAAGTGTAAACAGTTACGCGCGCCTGCCGTTACCGCTGCAACCATCATCAATGAAACAAACCGGAGCGGAGTACATTCTCGAACGCTCGCGCGCCCCACGTCCACCGATCCTATATAAAGACCGAGCATCGCCTGCGCCACTCATAAGTATTACGAAAGCGCACAAGACTAACGAAGCGAACGATACAAACAATACTCAAAACAAACACAATGTACAAGTGTCTGATCCTAGTAGCAGTTCTGAGCACCGCGACCTGTGATGAAGCCAGGAAGCGCAGGGTCGAAGATCCTCTCGCCGCGTTCGACAGACATTTGACACACACCCTCGCGTACCACTACCTTTGGCCGTGGAGTCAACTCATGAAGGCGGCGGCGGTCATCGACGCCGAAGATCATTTGGAAGAACCCCAGATTATTTCAGATGCAAAGAGGTTCGAAATCAACTTGAACGTAAAGAGGTTTAAACCGGACGAATTGAGAGTCATGGTGAAGAACCGGTACATCATCGTCGAAGGGAAGCACAAGGTAACCAATGAGGACACCAGGTTTATGGCCAACCACTTCGTTCAACGGTTCGTGCTGCCTCCGGGAAGCAAACCGGAGGAAGTGAAAGCTATTCTGAACGAGAAAGGTGTGTTGAGCATTTCGGGACCGAAGCACGAGCTGCCACCGCCGCCTCCGATGATAGAAGTGCCAATCGAAGTATTAATACCTGAAAAGACGACGGAGAAAATCGAAGAGGTGGAAAAGGTCGAGCTAACGACCGAGAAGAAAGAGGTACCAGCGATCTCCACTTCCACAGACACTCCTTTGGAGCAACTGGAGCTGACTGAAGCGACGACACACATCGGGAAGATTAGAAAGAAGGAGTTGAAGACTACGCCTAAAGCGACGAAAGACAACGAAGTTACGAAGGGAGGTGAGGGGAACGGTTTGGACTACGCCCTGATAGAAGCTGATGAGTGAGCGTGTTGTGGTGCTATGTGTAAAAAAAGACTGGACAAAGCTTTAAATCGGCGGCTGTGAAGACTGTTGTGCCAGTGGGAACCGTTCGATAACCCCGGTCGCCCTGTGTGCCGTCGCTGAGATTTACGATGTTGTTTATTTGATGAATATTAAATGTTATTTATTGTAAGTAATCCCTCTGGTTTCATTTGGCATGAGTAACGCCCGGTAATATTACCGTTTTTATTACACCATAATGTTTATGATGATGGCTAACCCGCACGCGTTTTATTATGGCAGAGTGATTTGCTATGTTTATTAATAATTTAATGCTTATTTTGTTTGATGCTGCGAGCAATTTTCTGTCCATTAAATCTCGCAAAACTTTTGCATATTCAATAAGTACATAAAAACGAAAACGTGCAAAGTAGAGCATGCTTTGGTTTTTTTTCTTTGTAAATCCATCTTCGAGATTACAATATTAAGTAAAACTATTCCATTAGATATAACTTTCTTTGTTAAATAAATAGAAACTAAGAAAAACTCTTCTCTTAACATTTTCACTTTTCCAGTTCGAATAAAAATTATTATTAAAAAATTCTAAGAAATATTTCAGTACCAAAAGTTAGCCTGTATTTACAACACTTTACTAAAATATCAATTTAAAGCAAAATCAATTTTATAGCTTGCGCAGACAAGGGACTTGTTGACCGCGGAGGACTTTTGTCCGCCTTAATAAGTCGCCTACAACTGCAACGAGTAACGCACATGACGGATCAAATACCGCGGACATAAGGTCCCCCAAATTATATCGGATCGAATAGGACAAAAGTACGCAAAAGTCCACGAAGAAAAAAGAACATAAAAAAATCTAAATTCCATATCGTTTATTCAATCCAGTCTAGGCTGTTACAAGCACTTGTGAATGTCAAAAAGCTACGCCATCGGTTCGCAAATCTACGGCGAGAGACCTTGTACTGAGAAAAACCTGCAAGAAACTCAGCAAGGGCTGTTTTTTTCACCCTGTATTATATACAGTCGTCAAATTGAAAGATGACTTCAATATAAGATAACTCATGAAGTCACTTTCCATTACAAATGTAAAAGATATAAAAATTATGATTATAAAATTTTCAAAAATGTGTAAAATAATAACATAGTTTAGGGATTTTTAGGAATGCCGTGTCCTACTGTTTAGGCATAAATCTATATATATAAAACTCAAAGGTGACTGACTGACATAGTGATCTATCAACGCACAGCCCAAACCACTGGACGGATCGGGCTGAAATTTGGCATGCAGGTAGATGTTATGACGTAGGCATCCGCTAAGAAAGGATTTTGATCAATTCTACCCCCAAGGGGATAAAATACCGAAGCGAAGCGAGGGCGGGCCATTAGTATGTGTATATGTGACAAGAGGCGTCACTGCTTACAGCGGACTAGTCCGCGTCCGCGAGAATAATTTACCTAAGTAAATTGCGTAAAACCAGTGGCGCATGAAATCAATTGTAAATTAAAAAAAAAAGTAGAAAAAAGAACTCCTTTATAAGATGCATCAATAAAAGGGTATCTCGACAATGGCGAAATATTTGTTGAAGCAATTCTAAAACCTTTATAGATTTCATCATCAGAAATCAAAATAAAATAATCTTAGCGGATTTATCAAATAAAACTAGTTTTTACGGGTTAATGCACGAAACTTTATTTATTTATTGACGTTTCGTAGCCTTAACAGGCTACGTCGTCAGAATCAAACTTTTATTTAATTTTAACAACGAAGTGTTACCCCTAGCACGAACCAATATAGAATTCGTAACGTTTGCGAGTCCGAAATTTCATTTGCCAAATGTGTACTGATTTTTAGTTCTCTTTACGTACTTTGTGGCGCTGCTGATCAAGTTTCCATACAAAATTTGACATTGACATTTCGCAGTTGCAAACTATTCGAATTCATTCGTTCGTGCTAGGGGTACTACGCCGTAAGGCCTCAACCCCATACGCTTATAATAATAATTTAACATCCAAATTGCATAATATTTATACTATTTCAATGATTCACGATGCTTTATGTTAAACAAACAAACTATGTATATAAAGTTGAAGATTGCCGAAAAAATGACTCTTAATACATAAATAAATAATTTTATGTATTATTGGAGGGTAAGACAAAATAGGAGTAAAACCGAAATTTAAAAAAGACAAATTTTCTAATAATATCTTAAATTAGATAGAGATACATTAAAATAACACAAACTTAAAAACTATATAGCTTAACCTGCTTACTTAATTAAATTCTCCTATACTTGCTTATAGTCCTCAAACAACATAAAGAAATTCATTATGATCCAACAATTTGTAACAAACGCAGACAATATAAAGTTTGTAATCAAATACGCCTTTTTGAGTGTTCTGCAAAAAGATCGTATGCTTTCTATGGCCCTTACCTATATAATATTATAAACAAAATAATTATAATAATTACATCTATATAACTTAAACACAAGAAATTGTAATTTAACTCTTAAAAATGGCTACTTAACCTAAGTTACGATGAGACTGAAGAACTATTCTATATAATAGCATAACTACATAGTTGTTTGTGTAGATAGGTAATATTAATTGCAGTGAGGTAGATTATCTATATGTAAAATTTTAAATGTGTTGCACGGCATAAATATATACATATATTCTTTTTAAACTATTTTAAGTGGTATCTTTTGCAAGATCGAACGAATAAAGATTTTGTTATTATAATATACCAAGCCAGATAGTGGCCCAAGATCGATCTAAGTCGCGTATACGTATCATCATCATCTTTAGCCTATTAATGTCCCCACTGCTGGGGCACAGGCCTTCCCTATGGATGGAATAGGGAGATTGGGCCATGACCCACCACGCGGGCCCAGTGCGGATTGGTGAGTGCTAACGACTGCAGGTGCAGCCGGGACCATCGGCTTAACGTGCCTTCCGAAGCACGGAGGAGCTCGAGATAGTAAATTTTTGGTCACCCATCCAATGACCGACCACTGCGAAAGTTGCTCAACTGCAACGACCGCAGCCGAACGCGCTAACCACTGGCGCCATCGAGCTCCTCACGCGTATACGTATATGGGTTATTTATTATTTACTTAAAAAACATACACAATAACCAAGTATCGGATATCGTATTGTCTATTTTACAATTTATTGTAAGAAAATTATTGTTCTAAAATTTACAATTGCTCTTGTAAAAGTCTGTAAAGAATCTCAAATATAAATACAAAATGTTTGTTTCAAATACACAGTTACAAAATACTAACTTATTGCACAATATAGGGCGGTATCGAGCATAATTATTGCATTAACAAACTCCAAGAACACATGGTTACTTAACACTTCACTCGTAATCGGTGTAAAACAATGGAAAATTACACGGCAACAGCTAATACATTGCTGGTTTCGCAAATGAAAACCAGTTACATACTTTTTAGTAGCTAATACTATGATGGCGTAGCTTCTAGACATTCATATGTGCTTGTAACAGCCTAAACTGAATAAATGATTTTGATTGATTGATTGATTGTTCGTTCAAAGAGCTCGATGGTGAGGCTGGTTAGCGGTTTGGCTCCGATCGTTGAAGTTAAGCAACTTTCGCAGTGGTCGGTCATTGGATGGGTGACCAAAAATTTTCTATCTCGAGTTCCTCCTTGCTAAAAGAAAAAAAAGAGCGCAAGGTATTTGAAAACCTTAGGTGTTCGGAAATAGGAAAATAATATCGGAAGCGATAGCGACAGCCACAGCAATCCCGTTAGACGATTGGCCTCCCGTTTTATTGACTAACCAGCGGCCCGCCCTCGCTTCGCTTCGGTGTAGAGCTGAAGTGTAGACTACAGTTTTTGTTCTCAGGCTTGTATTATACACAATGACATTCATTATAGTTTACTACATACTATAATAGGTAGATTCGTTTTCAATGGCCTTTCAAGTCTTTTTTTTTGAGTGTGTATGCTGTTGGTCGCAGATGACCTTTACAGCGTCACCGGGGTTTATTCAAGTCCTGTAGAGCACGAGATCTCATGATTTGATTTTCCGACATCCGATGAAAATCAAACAGTTGGTCCGTCACAATATAACAATGTGTTACTAACTAACTAACTACCGTAGCGGTGACGGTCATAAAGTGTAACAATCAAGAAAGGCATCCCTGAATTAAGCCATAAAAACAAATTACCAATTTGTTGAGATTATTGCCGTCGCAACAAGCGAGCGAAGCAAGGCGGCGACATTGTATTTCACAGTGGAACATTAATTGTTTAACGGTGTGTTTTCGTATCTCTCAAATGATATACGGGTAGGTCGTAGACTTAGATTAAATTAAAAAAGGATCGTATAATGCGATTCAACTAAGGATAGGATCGATGGGGCGCCATATTGTGACGTCATAGCTGTCAATTCAAACGAAAAAGGTAGAGTGAGCAAAAAAGTTTTTATTTAATAATAATAATAAATATTTCCAACACTCACACCAATTAGCCTAGCCCCAAAGCAAGCACTGTAAGGCTTGTGTTATGGGATACTAGGGTAATGGATAGAATACATATACAGTACATATATAAGTATATTTATATAGAAATCCATATTAAACATCCATGACTGGAGTACTAATGCTCGTATTCATCACACAAGCATCTCTGCCCCCACCGGGATTAACCCGGGACCTCTCGAGTCGGCGACACCATGAAACCCAGCGTACAAACCACTCGGCCACGGAGGTTGTCAATCGTTTAATAAAAGTTCGTCGTCGTGTCGTGGAGTTCGTCGAAGGAGGTCGTTTAATAAAAGTTATTTACTAAGATTAAGTGAGAAAATACATCCGATTTTTAATAATATTTATTTATTAAGACTGTGCGAGAAAAAACATTAATCAGAATTAAGCTCTTCAATTCCGCTCATCTCTGCATTACCGCCGGAATAGTTGTGAATAATCATACAATATTACTAGGTCACATACGAACATGCATCCTATATGTAAACCAGTTTTAAATCGAGTTTCTGAACGCAACTTAAAGTGACATTTGGTTGACGATTTAGGTTATCAAACATTCATAGCCAAAGCTCAAGAAATAAAAATAAAAT